AGGCGTTTTGTTTTCCTGGAGATAGGCTTTAAACACAACTTGCGCTGAAAGAAATGGGGAACAGTGACAGCGGAGCACATTCGAAAGTTGCCTGGCTATCAAGCTGACCTAAAGTCACCGACTTGGAACAAGCAGGCAACCAGTGAAGTCAGAACTACAGATGTGTTTACAGATCAGCATAACAGTCAGATAAGTGGCATCATTTAGCGAGGCAGCAAAGGTGACCCCTGTACATCTCTAAGCATGGGTTTCTTTCATCTGTTCTGGAAACCATAACCCATCCCTGATCCCCGCAAGGCTGGTACAGGGAAACCCAGCTCATAAAGATGGTCTACATTGAGGAACAGAAAGCAACGCATACACTCAGCACCATATTGTAGGGTGCACAGCATAGGACCACAGAGATGGCGTGATGCTAAACAAAACACCCCCCACCCCTCTACCCCACCAATCCGACGCAACATGCCACGCCGTGCCATTCGAAAAGCAATAAAAAGAAGCCCGCATACAATGCAACACCCTCATAGCAAGGCTCCCAGCTCTAGACCAGTCAGGATTTAAGTGAGCAAATAAAAGCAAGCAGTCCTGGAGGATTTTCCAAATCCCAAAGCCTGAACAGATTGCTGCCAAGCAATGACAGCACAAATCCTCTTTGGCTAATCAAGGCCCTTTCTATTAGCAATGACCGCTCAGGGCCGTCCATCCATCCCAAGTTACAGATCAACATCCTTTTTTTTTTTTCTCTCTCTCTCTAAGATGTTGTATAAAAACAAATCCTTTTTTTGTTTCAAGAGATGTTTAAAAACACATTTTGTTTATTCCAGTAGATGTTGTGTAAAAACACACCCTCCTATACAGTGCTGGTGAGGCCGCCCCTGCACACTGATCTGCATTCAAGGCATGCATCTACTAACTCCAGCCAACCTGTTTACTCCCACCGTGCCAGTCCAATGGAAAATGATGCTGGAATGACTGCTACTACACAATGACAGTACATCTACATCCTCTGGATCAGTACTCCCCCATCTCCCTCAGTACCCCCCTCCTCTAGATCGGTACCCCCACCTCCATCAGCACCCCACCTTCTCCATCCTCCAGATTGGTACCTCCATCCTCTAGATCAGTACCCCATCTCCATCCTGTAGATCAATACCCCCATCACCATCCTCTAGATTGGTACCCCCATCTTCTAGCTCAGTACTCCCCATCAATGATTACCAGCTCTCCTCGTCTTCACTGCCATAGCCATCCTCCAGGTCCAGGATGTCCACTTCATCCAGGACGGTGGTGACCCCTGAATGTTCAGCTAGTGGCCCCTCTGTGGCACTGAGACAGGCCAGCGGCTGCCTGCTGTTGAAGTATCCCAGGCTCCCGCAGAGCAGAGTGGGCACCGGGCTGGGCAGGCAGAGTCCGTTGGGTCGGGACAAACATGTGCCCGCCTGATGCATTGCAGGAGGGGTAGGTGGCAGCAGCAGGTGCGGGCTGGCGGTACAGTTGCTGACGGCGCTGGCTCGGTTCCGAAGCTGCTCGTTCTGCTTTTCCAGCTTCCTTACCAGTTCCTGCAGCTTCTTCACCTCCAGCTCGGCGTTCACCACCATCCCGTTGGCACACTTCACCTCCGCCATGCTCCTTCGTCTGCGGCCAGGCTCGGTCAGGGATGGCGGCTGTGTGCAGGCTGCATCCTTCTGTCAGCTGAGGGAATATTGATGTGAACGCCGGGCTCCCTCCCACCAATGCTACGAGAGAGAAAGAGAGAGAGAGGGGGGTACACACAATGGAACAAAGAGGAGCCAGGCTCTGGGGGCTGCTGATCAGCAGACCTCTAGTGATGTCCACTTCATAAACAAATCGTTCTTTTCAGTGAACTGGCTGAGTCGATTCATCAGACTGAACTGATTCATTTGAATCAATAGGACAGCAGGTCTGGTAATATAATCCTAGAGTAAGAGAGGTTGGCTTCTGCCAGCCCCTCCCTGCAACCAATCAGCCAGCTAACAGAACACTGACAATCACAATTTACAACACTTTTGAGTACACCAGTACACTGAATCAAACAATCATGACACCAGTACTACAGGTACTGAATCAAAGGATCATATGAGTCTCCAGTAGAACACAGTACACTGAATCAATGGTCAGGTTGCAGCAGTTGCAAGGGACAGACAGTCTTGCAGGGAGATAAGAGAGATGACACACTTTAGTCTGGATGAGAGGAGATCCTCATTCAGATTGATACTTTAACCCTTAAGGATGTGGGAACACTCTAATATATATATATATATATATATATATACAGAGGTGTGCAAAAGTCTTGCAACACCTGCCTCTACATAGAATTCTACATCTTTGAATATAGATACAAATGTAACAATCATAGAAAATAAAAAAAATTATATGAAATTGAAGGAAACAATGTAGATTTCAAATCTGAAAACAAATCAACATTATTATGTTTGTTTTTTATTTTCCAAATACTTTTATGGTACAAAACATTGTAAACGCAGTGGACACCATCCATGTTCATCGTTAAGATATAATAAAGTGCTTATGAGGCTTTGCCGGAGCAGATGCAGAGCAGTTACAGAACGCATCAAAAATGCATCCAATGTATTCCAATCGTATTTTGGGCTCTAGTTCACACCATAGCGTTCAGTTCCAGAGCATGTGGAAAAACTGCACCATGCCCTGGAAAACACCAAAATACATGCAAACGCATCAAAAACGCATGCAAGCGCCCTGGAACGCACTAAAAGCCTATTTTATGCAAAAATATAACGCTGCAAAACACACTGCATTGCATGTGCAGAAACTCATGCAGATCTAGACCGCATTAAGCCCCCTAAATAGGATGCTGACATCGCCTGAGCTGGCAAGAGGGTGGTCAGAGGGTACTTCTGTGACTTGCTCTGCTTTGACAGTCTATCGCCGACTACTTTCTTTTGGACTAAGGGCTTGTTCACATCAAATGCGGACCAGATCTGCATGAGTTTCTGCACATGCAGCACAGTGTGTTTTGCCGCGTTTTTGTACGTTCCAGGACTTTTTTTTTCTTTAGCCTAAAATGGGCTTTCAGTGAGTTCTATGGCGTTTGCATGTGTTTTTTATGTGTTTCCATGCGTTTTTGTGCGTTCCAGAGCAGAATAAATAGGGCATGCTGCAGTTTTTCCACATGTTCTGGAACTGAACGCTGTGGTGTGAACTAGAGCTCAAAATACCATTGGAATACATTGGATGCATTTTTGATGTGTTCTGTAACTGCTCTGCTCTGCTCTGCATCTGCTCCGCACTTGGTGTGAGCAAGCCCTTAGAGGCCGCAAAGCAAGGAGGAAGCCTCTACTGTCGGAACGCCAGCGAAAAGCTCGCCTACTGTGGTCTAAGAAACATTGACATTGGTCGACAGCTGACTGGGGGAAAAAAATGTTTTATTGATGAGTCAACCTTTTCCATTGCTGCAAATATTGGTACCTCATATTATAGGAAGTGTCCTGGTAAAGAATTCAAGCCAAATTGCACCAAGAGAGCCTTGAAGTACTCAACATCTGTAATGATTTGGTCTTGTATGGCTGCATCTGGAGTTAGGAGTCTGTGCATTATTGATGGAATAATGAATGCATGCATCAATACCGATATCCTAACGAATAAAATGCTTCCTAGTGCTGCTGAGTTATTCCCACAGCGTACACCAAAGAGGAAGTGACGAAAATGCGTAGGTGGGCGGTGCACATGGATATCACAGCACACATGAGAGAAGCCTGTCTCAGCTGAGAGGATTTTATACAAAGCGCAAAGTTTTTATCGTTCTTGTAAATGTTTTATCAAATACTGCACAATGGAGAGCACTTTTCTGTTTGTTTGAGTATCGGTGACTAACTACAAATAGCAGGAGGAGAAAACCACACAAAAAAGGTAGATCGCAATGAGTTATCACCTAGGAATTGACAGAAGAATCTTTGAAAAAAACAGAGCCGGTTACCTGGTCGGAAGGATTGCAAATGAAGGAGTGGAGAAATTAAATGATCCATGGTCAGCACGTAAAAAGGTGACCAGCAACAGCTGGAAAGTGCCGATTTCAGACGTTTTAAAAAAAAACAAGTTACATAGTATTTGAGGTTGAAAAAAGACATCAGCTCCATCAAGTTCACCCTATGTGTGTCTGTGCATGTGTATATGAATCCCTGTGGTTTAGTTTTTAAGAGTACCTGTACCCCTGTATGTTATGGTCTCTGAGGAAGGTGTCTAAATGCTTTTTGAATGATTCAATACTCTCTGCTGATAGCACTGCTTGTGGCAACGAGTTCCAGACTTTAACCGCTCTAACTGAAAAAAAGCCCCTACGCCCCTTGTGGTTAAATCTTTTCTACACCAATTTTAGGTGGTGGCCTCTAGTCCTTGTTAAGGTGGCCATACACTGTACAACCATCGCAAGACCTTAGTCTTGCAATGGTTGTAAAGTGATTAAAAAAACGTACGATCTGCCCATCTTGGACAGGCAGATCGTACTCTCGATCATCGCACAAATGCCGAACGGGCCGGTGTAAGGAGGAAGCCTCTACTGTCGGAACGCCAGCGAAAAGCTCGCCTACTGTGGTCTAAGAAACATTGACATTGGTCGACAGCTGACTGGGGGAAAAAAATGTTTTATTGATGAGTCAACCTTTTCCATTGCTGCAAATATTGGTACCTCATATTATAGGAAGTGTCCTGGTAAAGAATTCAAGCCAAATTGCACCAAGAGAGCCTTGAAGTACTCAACATCTGTAATGATTTGGTCTTGTATGGCTGCATCTGGAGTTAGGAGTCTGTGCATTATTGATGGAATAATGAATGCATGCATCAATACCGATATCCTAACGAATAAAATGCTTCCTAGTGCTGCTGAGTTATTCCCACAGCGTACACCAAAGAGGAAGTGACGAAAATGCGTAGGTGGGCGGTGCACATGGATATCACAGCACACATGAGAGAAGCCTGTCTCAGCTGAGAGGATTTTATACAAAGCGCAAAGTTTTTATCGTTCTTGTAAATGTTTTATCAAATACTGCACAATGGAGAGCACTTTTCTGTTTGTTTGAGTATCGGTGACTAACTACAAATAGCAGGAGGAGAAAACCACACAAAAAAGGTAGATCGCAATGAGTTATCACCTAGGAATTGACAGAAGAATCTTTGAAAAAAACAGAGCCGGTTACCTGGTCGGAAGGATTGCAAATGAAGGAGTGGAGAAATTAAATGATCCATGGTCAGCACGTAAAAAGGTGACCAGCAACAGCTGGAAAGTGCCGATTTCAGACGTTTTAAAAAAAAACAAGTTACATAGTATTTGAGGTTGAAAAAAGACATCAGCTCCATCAAGTTCACCCTATGTGTGTCTGTGCATGTGTATATGAATCCCTGTGGTTTAGTTTTTAAGAGTACCTGTACCCCTGTATGTTATGGTCTCTGAGGAAGGTGTCTAAATGCTTTTTGAATGATTCAATACTCTCTGCTGATAGCACTGCTTGTGGCAACGAGTTCCAGACTTTAACCGCTCTAACTGAAAAAAAGCCCCTACGCCCCTTGTGGTTAAATCTTTTCTACACCAATTTTAGGTGGTGGCCTCTAGTCCTTGTTAAGGTGGCCATACACTGTACAACCATCGCAAGACCTTAGTCTTGCAATGGTTGTAAAGTGATTAAAAAAACGTACGATCTGCCCATCTTGGACAGGCAGATCGTACTCTCGATCATCGCACAAATGCCGAACGGGCCGGTGTGCGCACGCGTACACTGCCCGTTCAGCATTGCGGTCATCGGAAGCCCCACCCTCAGGGGCGGCCCGTTCGGCATTTGTCTCCCGAGCACCTTTCAAACCAGCCGAAAATCGTACGATTCTCGGCTGGTTTTCTAACATGCTCCTTAGACAAAAGACGTGCGATCGTACAGTAGAAACGGTCGCACGTCTTTGTTCACACTGTTCGATTCTCGTACGATCGCGGGATTTCCCGCGATTCTCGTACGAGAATCGAGCAGTGTATGGGCACCTTTATGGAGTTTACTGTAAAAAGTTTATTGCTGATGTTGCACCCCACTAAACATTTTGTACATCAAAATCATGTCCCCTTTTAGTCTCCTCACTTCTAGCGTGAACAAGTTTAAATTTAATAACCTTGTCTCATAGCTTTGGTCCTCCAGCCCCTTAACTACTTTAGTTGCCCTTCTCTGGACTCTCTCTAGCTCCAGGACATCCTTTCTGTGGATTGGTGACCAAAACTGGACCGTAAACTCCAGATGAGGCCGAACCAGTTATGTGTAAAATGGCAAAATTATAGATTTGTCTCTACAGTACATTCCCTTTTTAAAACAAGACAGTACTCTGCTCGCTTTGTTTACCGCAGCCTGGCATTGCATGCTGTTATTGCTGTTATGCAATCTGTGGTCTACTATGACCCCCAGATCTTTTTCCATTTCTGACTTCCCTAGTGGAGTACCCATTAATATTAGGGCTGCGGAAATTAACGATTAATCCCTCGATTAATCGTTAATTTTTTTGATCGATCAAAATTATTTTGATCGATCAAAGTTCTTTGGCTCCGTACTCACCTCTCCGCCGGCTTCCGGGTCTTCCGTCGGAGATCCGGTGACGTCACGGACATCGACGTCACCGGACTCCTCCCCCCTTCCACAAGTGGCTCTGTCGGCTAACGAAGGGAAGGGGGGAGGAGTCCGGTGATGTCGATGTCCGTGACGTCACTGGACTCCTCCCCCTTCCCTTCGTTACCTGATGGAGCTGCTTGGGCCGCTGAGTACACTTCCTAACTCTCCCGGCCGCCCGGGAGAGACA